CCCCGACCGACACGTCGCCCCGGCCAGCCACACTATCGGCCCTCTCCGCCCTCGCTCCACCCGACCGGCCCTCCGCACCTCCGAACGCCTCCCGACGTTCCACCCGACCGACCCGCCACGCTACTGCCCCACTCCGACGGGCAACAGCGGGCGCGGCCTGTTCGTTGGGCCAGCGGTTTCCCACCACTCCTGCGCGCCGCGCTTTCGCACCACCCTTTTTCCTTTGCCCAGGGCCTCAGCGAACCGCCACGGCCAAATCCCTCGCGCCACGGTCTCTGTCAGCCCTGCGGTGCCGCCGCGAAACGCCACGCCTTTATTTCGTCACCCATGTCCCGCGGCCCTCCAGTCCAATTTTTGCTGGGCCCGGCGGGACGCGTCACGCTGGGCCCTTTCCTTGCTTTAGGAGTGTAGAGAAGAGATGAAGAAAAGCTGTGCACCCGAATTCATGGGCTGGTACGATCTCCTTCACGTAAGTCTTCATAGTGATGTACCGTGGCAATAAAATGTGTCCACGAACACAGCCACGAGGATGAACAAGTAATGGCTATCGGCATACATTCATCCCCATGTGTCTCATGATGCCTCTAACAGGCCATCCGACAGACGCGGAAGCGTTCCTGTCAGATCCACCACAATATCCGAATTTTACATTTCGAGTTCTATTTCTCAGAGCCAAAAAAAAAAAAAACGAAGTCTGGAAATCAACCCCCCCCTTTAGAGCCCATAAAATCCAGACTTCCCGCCCACGCAAAGCCACGAGCTATCATGTCCAAGTTAGTCCAACTTTTTTTTTTTTTTTTTTCCACGCACCTCTTTGGACGGGAGGTGGGCATCTTTACAGTCCCAGCTCGGAAACTAAAAGACCGTCGAGATCCGATTTTTTTTTATTTTTTTTTTTTGCTCCAATTATAAATTTGATTACAACATTTAACCACACACCTGAGCCTCAGCCACTGCTCCCTTGGAGATAGCTTCCCTGCATGACACGAATATAGAATAATCACAGGAGATCCGATCTATTCGACGGCCGTACTGTGTCACTCGAGGCCACACGTGATCGAAATCTTGGCTAATGGCTAATGGGTCCAGGCCCCAGGGGCCGCTAATGGGTCCAGGCCCCAGGGGCCGCTAATTTTCTCTCTCTGTATCGTTCCAATTTTAACGGATGTGCCGAAGGACGCGTATTTGTTTTCAAGCAGGGCCGCAGATGTATTCAAGGGTCCCTGAGAGGAGTTCGAGAGTGCTGCAGGCGGAACACTCTCTCTCGCTCGAAGGTCAACTCTTGATCGTTTTTTTTTTTTTTTTTTTGGGACTCGAATTTTTTTTTTTTTTTTTTAATCTCGATCGATTTTCGAGTGGAGTGAGGGACGGTAAGTAAGTGGATCGAGGCCTATGGGTGTCGCTCCGAGGTCATCTTCGAGCATACCTTACCCAATGAGCGGCTGGGGTCTATTAGGTCCCGATCCGACTGCCGGATAGTGGGGTACCATAGGAAATCAGAGACGCATCGGGATACCAGCCGATTGGCGACTGACGCACCCACGACTGCGTGGTAACTCCTGAGAGGGCGATATCTCATTACCCAAAGAGATTGGATTGGAAACCTGAATCTGGACGTGTGTGCGGAGACGTGCAGATCATTGCGATTGCTCTGCTTTTCCGCATCTGTACAGAAAACGCATCCAGATTCAGGTGCTTAGTCCAATCTTCTTGGCTACGGGTAGCGGGATCTCGCTCAGACTTGCGGGCCAATGAGCATGTACAGTGCGACCATGTCAGCATCCACGTGTCCCCGAGTGCTGACGTGGACATGCAGACATCCTCATCGTCGTGCTTATGCAGCGCGCCGGCAGAAGGGACTGCTTGAGGTGGTGGGTGTGCGTGTCACGGCCGGGGTCGGGGTCGGGCTGGGGAGAGCCGACCATGGGGTGAGTCGGGAGAAGGAGAAGGCGATTGGAGGTGGGGTGGCGTCGACGTCAGCATGGGGATTAACCACCTCCTCCTCCTCCTCCTCCTCCGCCAGGTCATCATCCTGGGCGAACGGGGGTCTCATGCAGAGTGCAGCGCGCGACGAGCAGCAGCGATGGAGGTGGGGGTGGGGGGTTGAGCAGTTGGGAGATGTAGGATGTCAGCGAACGAGGACGGGCAGCAGGAGGAGGAGGAGGAGGAGCGGGGGGGAGGAGGGGAAGGGTTTTTCGCTGACCACTGCGCGCATGAGGACGGGCAAAGCCGGGCGAGGGGGAAAGAGACGCGTGGCTGCTGACGTTGACAAGCCTGTGCCAGATGGCTTCGACCAGGAGATGTGGCTATGGGCGCTCGAGAAGGGGAGGCAGTCCAGAGAAGATTTCCTATTGTGGATGGAGAAGGAGGGGGAGGGGAGAGGGGCAGGGGAGGGAAAGGGGAAGGGGGAGGGCGCTGGGCCAGGTCTAGATGATGACGGCCCCTTCTCCCAGCAAAGAACCGATGAGGGATATGGTGCAGCGGAAGTGGCGGTTGCTCCGCGAATCGTTGGCATTGAGAGCAAGGAGGAGAGGGGTGGGAGAGAGAGGGGGAGGGAGGGAGAAGAATACGGTGATGACGATGATGAAGGGATGCGAGGTAGTTACGACGACGGCGATGGCAATGGCTATGGCGATGAGGAGGAGGATGATCATTTATGGGAGGAAGTGGAAGATGGTGTATGGGTGGAAGCTTGGGATAGACTCGCAAGAGGGTTATTTCCTAATGGGGAAAAGAGAGAGGATGACGCATCAAGCCAGCAGCAGCCGTCAGCCGTAAGAGGACGGCCTCGATTCAACGACCTAGAGGAGGGGTCATCATCCACTACCGATGAAGAACGTGAGAGTCGGTTCCGACCGAACATCGAGGGCAGAGAGGTGTGTGACATCTATTCGCAGTACAAAAAAAGCCCACCTTAAAAAATAGAGAAAAGAACTGGAACATTCAGGGCAGAGATGTGTGTGAGATGTTTTTTTTTTTTTTTTTTTTTTTGGTTTTAGCCCGATGTACCATGGATCAGATATCAAAACTGATCCGCCGAACAGATACTACACTTGATCTTAGTGAAAAGGCTGAGAAAGGTATAGACATCTAATCGCAGTACGCAAACCCACAAAAAAGAAAAAAGAGAAAAAAGATGAAGGAAAAAAAAAAAAAGCACGGAACATCCAGGACGGAGAGGTGGTGAAACCCCAAAAAAAACACAAACGGAACGTTCCAGGGCAGACAGGTGTGTGACATCAATTCGCAGTACAAACATACACACACAGAGACACACACACACACACACACACACAAACAAAAAAAAAAAAACAAAAAAAAAAAAAACACCGGAACGTCCATGAACAGTATGCCAGCGGGTTAACCCCTATCCCACGTTCTTTTTCTGTTTTTTCCCCCCCCTTCTTTATCGTTGGTTTTAAAGGCAACGCCACTGGGGTATCATTAATGAATTGCCGCAGCCAGACAATTCACCCGTTATTCTACTTGCTCGATTCCATATGGATTCGAACTCTCGCAGGGCATACTCACAAGAGGACTTTTTCGACTAATCTCTGGACGTGATTGCAGTAAGATTCATCCACGTCTGGCCGTAAGCGCGGTCAGATACATCTAGGAAAGTGCTGGTGTGAATATGCCCAAAATTCTGTTTACTAACAGTTCATGTCTAACCATCCAGTCAAATGGTGTTTTTTTTTTTTTTTTTTTTTTTTTTTTTTTTTTTTTTTTTTGAAACAGCCACATGGGCTGGGTTCTTACGAACAGTCAGATGTTCCTGTGTCTGGAATCAGGGCATAGTCGTACTACCCGGAATGCATCTGACTGGAATTACGAACAGACGTGGATGAATCTGACTGCAATCACGGACAGAAGTTTGTCAAAAACGTCCTAGTGGTCAGAGAACATGCAATGTATTTCAGATGTTGACGATTTTTTTTTATTTTTTTTTCTTCTTTTCATCATCTTTCAAATTCTTTCAATTCACCTTCACTCTTCACTACCTACCTACCGCCACTCCTAAGGGGTGTACAGGGGACCCCTGCCAAGATAGCTTTGTTGTCTCCCTCCAGCCATCAGAGGGGATGCATGTTGCTCCCCCCTCCCCCCCTCCCCCCCCAACAACCATGGTGGTCAAGGATGGGGTGGGGCCGCCGGTGGGTGTCCGGCTAACGCAAAGACCGAACATTTTGCCAGTAGCTGCACCTCCCTTTTCATCGTTCCCTACCCCCAACCGGATAGTAGCAGTGTCTAAGGCCAACACTCTCCCACACACCACACGGAACCCACTCACACTCACACTCACACCCGTGTTGGCCAAGGACCCTGCTAATACCGATCAGAGGTATCAAGCCGACTATCACCGCTGGTTGGCATTAAGTGCGCCGCAGGCCCGCAGGCGGTTATGGGGCTCAAACTCATAACCTCCTGAATGCCACTTGCCTGCCTAACCAACTGAGCTAGGCCGCTGGATTTTTTTAAATTTATTTATTTATTTATTATTTATTTATTTTGCCTTCCTGGAACTAGAAAAAATTAGCTTTTTTTCCTATGTAAGATCTTCAAGTTTTTCCTATTTTTTCAATTACAGAAATAACGTCACTTAGATTCCTTTTTTCAGATCGTGTCTTTCTGCGGTGGTCAGTGGACATACAATGTATCTGGTCGGGCGCGGCTAGCTGATATTTGTATTTATCCTCATTATTATCCTCATTATCCTCGACAGACAGTCGGAATTGTAATTAGTATGAGTAAGCTCCACACTGCAGGGTGCTTTTACTTCTCGCCTATTCAAGTCTATGATGCTTCACACCTCAGGGTGCTTTTACTTCTGGCCTATTCAAGTCTATGATGGTCTTTCTTTCGCTTTGAATTTCGCCGTCAGCAGTTGGGGTGGACGTGCTGGGGACAGTGGCCGGAGGGAGCTTTTGGATACCGCTGAGCTCCAGTTCTCCCTATCTCCTGCAGACCCTCCTCACCTTCTGCTGTGATAGCCACTACCTCTGTTCTGCCAGGGATGAGCAAAGGACGGTTCAGATCTACCAGGCACAAATGTGCAATGCTCCCTGCTTCGACCACGTTGCTGGAAAAGCCTGGAAGGCTCACAAATATTTTGGATTCCAACGAGCAAGGTGGATTGTAACCAACTGGCGTGTGGCAACTGTCTGGCACCGACCAAGATTAGTTTTGCAAAAATTGACGAGTTCAGGGTGCATTGAGATTCAGGGGGCCCGCCTTCGCTTAGGGTGGGCACACGCCTGCTGCAGGGCCCTATGCGGAGGCATAAACCCTCGCACTCCCTCCTCCTTTACTTCGATAGTCCTCTGAGAAGGCATTACACAGCAGGCTGCTTCCCTTTCAAATTTTGTTCATAGCGTGAGATAATTTGGGGAGCAGTCTTCATTAGTGCTTCTCTTGTGAACCACCGATCTTCTTTTAGGGTCCGTGTGGTGTCTGAACCGCACTCGGTACTGCATCTGCGGTTTCCGAGGGCTTCCCCTGCCGGGAGGCTTGGGCACGGGCACCAGCTTGTGCTCAACAATGTTGTCGATGTCCACGTGTCCATCCATGGTTGGGGGCAGCATAGATCTTCTTGAGGGAAACTCCTCAGTTTCAGAGAAGGGTGTCAATTGGGATGCATGGAAAACAGGGTGTGTACGGAGGTGACCAGGAATGCGAATCACATATGATGGGCCATCGAGTTGATCTCCTACTATGTCCAAAATCTCCCAAGGCCCAAAGTACTGTGGCATCAGTTTGCATGAAATTCCCAACTCTTGGCCCAATTCAGATGATTTTACCCAGACTCGTTCGCCTACCTGAATGCAGACGGTCGTTTGTGTTTGTTCTCCATGGCATCTCGTGCTTTCTTAATATACTCTACGGCCTGCTGCAGCATCTGTTGGTACTTTACAGCAAACTCTAAGCTTCCAGGAGCTGCAGTTGGCTGATTTTCAGCTAACGGAAAGTCAAGAGCAGATCTGGGCTTCCAACCAAGATGCAGCTGGTTAGGGGTCTTACCGGTAGTGCTGTGCACAACATTGTTATACAGGCTGGCAATGAGAGGTAACTTCTCATCCCAGTCATCTTGACTTGGCTTAATATAATGCCGAAGCAATTGCTGCACTACCTGGTTCCATCTGCTCGGCCTCTGTTTGATTCAGGGTGGTTCCCTGCTGTTGTTTGCAGTGGGGTGCCCATCTGTTGGGCTGTACTTTGCCACAGTTCGCTGGTGAATCTGACATCCCTTTCGCTCACAATAGACTTAAGTAGACCGAAGTCACGTACCCAGTTGTCCATGAATAGCTTGATGACGTGGTCAGTCCTAGCTGTCTCAGGTATGGCAATAAGTCTAGTGTACGTACTGAACCTGTCCACAATGACGAAGATGCATCGCTTACCGCTCTTGCTGGTCACAAGAGTATCCATGAAGTCCATAGACACACTCTGATCAGGTCCAGCAGGGATAGGCAAGGGCTTGATAAGCCCAAGCGGTGCCTACGTCCTTGGCTTGTCACGTTGACAAACGTGGCAAGTCTCGACATATGTTTTTGCACCATCCATCATTATGGGCCACCAAAATTTTTGCATTAAATTTGTTGCTGTCTTTTTATACCCGGTCACCTAAAAATAGGCTGTGCAAGGACTCTTTATGTCGAACACAATCATTTATTCCCAGTTTTTTAAAGAATTTAAGATGGAGCCTACGACCGGACTTGAACCGGAGGCCTTTCCCTTACCAAGGTAATGCTCTACCACCTGAGCTACGTGGGCTCACGGGGAAATTGGAGACGATTGGACTTGAACCGATAACTTCATACTTGCAAAACATGCATTTCTCTGAAGCGCAACTAGTTCGGCTTTAGCCCGAGCTAGCTCTGTGGAATCGCCTTCTTTGGCGTGATCTTCCTCTTCCGGGAAGCTAGCGGCGAATTTCCTTTCGATTTCTTCAGCCACATTCATGATCTGTTGCATCGTGTGGGTGATGGGAGAAAACTGCGTTCGTAGCTTGGCTCTCATTGCCCGACTCCTGAGGCCGTCAATAAATAAATCCCGTCCTACCTTTTTGTCCCGCTCGGACTTAACAAACAACCGAACGAATCTGCTACGATATTCGACGATAGATTCGAGGGGCTTTTGCATTCGATCTTTGATCATGAAGAACGCATTTTCCGGATGTATGTAGTCAACCCAATGTAGGAAATCCTTCTCGAAAGTCGAAAAATCCACCCAGTTGTATGTACTAAACCAGTGATGCGCATCTCCTTCCAAGCGGACGAGGATGTTGATCTGAGCCTCATGGTCATCGTACTGCTGTGCTCGGATGGTGGCTAGCCACCCTCCTGCCAAATGATGTGCCGGATCGAACATGTATAGATCGGGAGGGGCAGCTGGTGCGCTAACGTGTGCTGGGGACGATGCCACCTGTCCAACGGGATTTGGCGCAACATGTTACTCATTGACTACTGGATTAGCATTCATGTTGGCCCTCCGTCTTCTTGCGGACCTTCTCCGAGTGACTACAGGTTCCCGTGCTGGCTCGTTTTTATTTTTAGATCATCCTTTACTTGGTCCTTAGATTGACACGTGTCGGCGCTCCTATACCAACCTCACACCCAACACGACTGCCTGATCGGAGTGGGTAGCGGGTGTGGAAGTAGAGAAAAAGGGGTTGTGCCAAGTATTTTAGGAAAAAGGGGCGGAGTCCCAGGTCGGAATTGGGATCTCCGGTGTCGGTGTTCCAAGGACAAGTATGCAAGATGCTAGGGCGAAGGAGGGGCTTCCCGGATCCTTGGCGCGACCGGTCTGATTCGACGCCTAAACTAGGACCGGGGAGGTATTTTTGTTGTTAGCCTCGGTGTGAACTCTGCGGTCGGTGGCTTTAATTGCAATCGGGGACAGATGTCGAGTTTCTATGCTACCGGTCCGTGATGTTGTTATCGTTCCTATCCATGGAGACTGATGCTGGCGGGCCAGATGGGAAAGAGTCATGTGAACTCATGTATAAGCGATGGGACGTGCTGTTAGCGAGTCATAGCGCATGCACGAGCTCGTATAACTCTTCCCTTTATCAAACAAGTCACAGGTGTGCTGCGGCGATGCCACGACAGGCGGGGCGCTGGCATGTGGCCATGCAGCACCAACGACGTGAGATGCGCGCGCGCGCATGAGAGAGAGAGAGAGAGAGAGAGAGAGAGAGAGAGAGAGAGAGAGAGAGAGAGAGAGATAATTTTTGTCAAATACATTCCAAGAAAGTGGATCAGAGAGAGAGAGAGAGAGAGAGAGAGAGAGAGAGAGAGAGAGAGAGAGAGAGAGAGAGAGAGAGAGAGAGAGAGAGAGAAAA